AAGAACCAAAATTTCCTACAACAAATATTAACATCACAACCCAAGAAATTTACAGATGTGGAATAAGACTGGACACCCACATTACGTTTATATACGCCATGGATTTCAAGTGGTTAGAGCAAGCTCCCGCCAGCAGCAGTAGCCGCCATGTGCTCGTTACCGTTTTCTTCAGCCAGGTCCCAACTACCCAGTAAAAGTGATCCTGCGGACGCGGTCCACATTTGAGCACTGTGTGGCCCTGTTGACACCGCTCCATTTGACAAAAGTCAATTTTTCAGTCGACTTTTTCAAAGGAGCCGGGCTGAAAATCCTTTGCAGATTCTTGCCTGGGTATTCTGACAGCAGCACACCTGCCACTGTCAGCAGACAAGAGCTCGGCGGGGAGGACTCCAAACATTTTTTTCCGGGCTGAACAAGACAAAAAAAAAAAAAAAGGTATTAGTGTATTGTTGTATAAAATCATATGAATAAAAAAATATATAGTGACAACCAGAAGCTGTGTTTTGTTCATGTGTGTCATCGCCTTTTCATTCGGGGGAAAGAAGGAAACACGAGAAAGCAAACAAGACCATAAAAAAGGTATTTGGATGTTAAGGATGGGAGGAGAAATCAAAGATATTAAGGACCAGACAAAACTGGGTACGGTTACAGTAGTCTGATAACAATAGCAAACAGGACTATGTGTTCATTGTTGGACCAGACCTTCCCCATTCACACTTTACAGCCAATGACATCTTCTGCTGCCCTCATATACAAGTTTTATAAAGCTCAGATTGCTGCTGCAATTGACTTTTGTAGTGTAAAGTGTGCTATGCAAGTCAAATGATCAGACGGATTATTGGTAGATACATTGAACTAGGGATGCACAGATACTTTTTGAGTACCAGTGCCGATACTTGCCATTTTTACAAGAACTACCAGGGTTGCAGCGGTTGCAGCTGGGACCTGGCTCTGGCCCTCCACCACAGTCCTGAAATCATTAGTCTGTATTGTTTTAGAAAAACTGTCACATGACAATAAACAAAAATGTATCAGTACTCGTACTTGTAAGTACTCGGCAAGTACCAGTACTCGCAAAACTGGTATCTGTGCATCCCTTTATTTATATTTGTAAAAACAAAATCGTACATTAAAAGGGAGATGTACAAATCCCAGGAGCTCCGTGTGCTCCTTACAAATGACAGCTGCCGCCTAATTTTTGAATTTTTCTCTAGTGTAGTCTTGGAGCTCAAAAGTATCGGTACTCGTACCTGTACCGAGTACTGTACTTGGTATCTGTGCAACCCTACATTGAACACAACATAATCAGCCTATGCATGCCTAGCAAACTTCCTTGCCCAATCAGCACCCACTCGAGATATTTACTGGGCAGCTTAGACAATCCCATGACATTTCTAGGTGTGCGGTCATTGTGCAACTATGTCAACTGTTCACACATGATTCAGAAGTTAAGTAGGGACACTGAAAATCCAGCTCTTCCAGAACTGGACAAACGCATGCATGTAGGGTAATGTACGCACAAACCCATCTGTAATTTGTGCATGGACTACTATGCGCATACACATTGTCACCCTGGGCGGGAGGCTGTCGTTTCACTGGAGCCGTCTGTAGAAAGGTTTCTGGCAGACAGACGAGGGGCAGAAAACCAGCCCAGATTAAACCGCAACATCCTTCTATGAGCAAACACCACAAAAGCAGAAACAAGACACAAAAACAAAAAAAGAACGAACAACAACAACTATGTTGTCATTCAATGGACAAGCTGAGCAGATTACTGTGCTCTGGTAAAGCCTGTGGGGGTAACAATGACCTGCAAGGGTTAGCTGCTCAGTAATGTCCATGGAACGGTGTAATAAATACCAGTGGCACCGATTTCTGAAAAATAGTGAAAAAGGGGATAAATCCCACAGCAAAGAAAGAGATTTATCATTTATAAAAGAGTGTGAAAGATGAAAGCTAATTCATTGTTACACCAATAGTGAGAAACCATCCAGAATATCCGAGGCCCACCAATACCTCCCATTCACCTCACGGTGTAACAAATAAAAAGCGGGAAAAAAAAAACCCATTGGAAGTGGAGCGGTGTCAGAAACCAGCCTACAACTGAGAAAAAGCATACATACAAAAAGCTGGCAAGTGTTTTGATAAATCCTACTCTGAATCTAGGAGGGAGGGGGGGGAGTTGTCTACATCTAAACTCTACACTGGTCATTAAATAAATTGGGGGGCTGCCATTGCTAACCCCTAAAATGCTAGTGACCTGGCTGCTTTTCCCCACTGCACTGACTTCATTACTTTGACTTTCCTGATCGGGACGCTTGTTCCGGGTCACTGACTGACTAGATGTCAGAAGACTTCATCCTTATTCTTGTTTTGAGTGACTCAAAAAGTAAGCATGACAGTCAGGAAATTCTTCAGGGGAGAGGTCAGCAACATCGGCCTCCATGTTTCTCTCCGGAATGGTTTTATCTAAAGGACAACAATGGCGCTGTCCCTGGCTTGCAGACAGCGAGGAGCTACAAACCTTCATCACAGAGATGTGCAGGCCGGTATTCAGTGAGTACAAAGGACCAGGAGCTACCCTGGCCAAACAGGAAGGATCTGGACTGTGACATACACTACCGGGCGCTAGATCAATCAACCATTCTCTGCGCTACGTTCCAAAAGCGGCTCCTTTACTGATCCATAAAAATCACACGAGAGGAGCAGAAGGTGCAATGTTGTCATAAGGAATGGATATAAATGGGGACACTTGTTCTAGTGACAACTAGGGACCTTAAGATTGTAAGCTCCTTGAGGGCAGGGACTGATGTGAATGCGCACAGCGATGAGTAAATTGTTGGCGCTATACAAAATACCAATAATGAGAGGCTTTCCCTTGCACTTCCTGTTGTCTGCAGAACAGGAAGTTAAGAGACAAAATAGACTTTAAATCGGTGGGCCTCAACCTGTGTAACCTCAGGACCACATTTGTCCTCGGTCATTAAGTGGCAACAAAGATCGCACTGCAATGGAATGCAAGACATTGCGGTACCATGCGTCCCGGTGGGGGAGATCGAATTGTGAGTGGGAGCTGCGTTTGGGGTATCATTTCAATGAATGTCAACGCCCAAAACCAGAAATCACAGTAGGTGTGATTGTGCGCTGCAGTGTATTAATCGAATAGGACGGTGCGATTAAAGCACTGTACTAGTGTGAACGGGCCCACAACCACAATCCAAAATAAATTGATTTCTTTTTTCTTATTTTTAAAAAGGTCCACCCAGTGTCCCTAATTTACAAGAACTGGAGTGGATCCTCAGCCTGGGGTCCAGTGTGGGCTGCTGCGCTGTGATGAAACTCCATCCATGTGTGCATTGCTTGTACAACCCCCTTGCGTGCCCAGTAGAGGTTCCGGGAGCCAGAATGTGATGTCACTATAGTCCAGGCGCCTCTACAGGACACGTGAGGGAGCTGTAAGCACGTATGGATGGAGCTCCCCTTGTGTCCATAACTCACCCACGCCGACACTCAGCAACGGGCAGCATATTTTGGATGCTGCGAGAACTGTCTGTTGCGCTAGGAAGAAGCTGAGGAGCCTCTTACCTGGAAAGGTGGACCCCACTGAACATGGGGTCACGACCCACCAGTTGAGAAGCAAGGCTTTAAATATAGGTTACACAGAATTTTAGAAAGAAACGACCATGCAGCGCCACTGCCGTCAGAGTGACAAGGGACATTGCAGGACTTTGGGGGGGATTCCAGTGGAGTGGTTGGTATTTTCCATCTTGGTGAGGGCTCTTGGCACACGCTGGCACTATGGAATAATGATGGGAAAGGGGTGTACGTCATGCTGCCACCTCTCTAGGGGTGTTGGTTTTCTGTGTCGCTCCGACAGGTTGACAATAAGGTGCACTAGAGACTTCTGAGTGGTCCCAGGCTATAGCAAGCTATTCTGGACAATAGAAGCTGCCTGATGTGTCAGCAGGGTAAGAAGGGGAAATCCGAGACAGCAAAAAATACACTGACCGAGGTGTATACATTTCACACTAACAACAACAACAACAACAACAACAACAACAACCACCACAAAGTTTTGACCCAGGGGCTCCAGCTGTTATGAAACTACAAATCCCGTCATGCCTCTGTCTCTGGCAGTCATGTTTGTGGCTGCCAGGAGTTTTGCATTGCCTCATGGGATTTGTAGTTCCACAACAGCTTGAGTACCAAGGCTGCCTCCTTCCCCTGCTTTAACCTAAACTACTAGCAAATACTCTGGGGCTACTTGCTGGCCCTACTGACTTTAAACCCTTTAAGCAGCCGCCATTATTACCTTCTTGTCTAGGCTGAACCCCCGCATCTACTTTCCGGTAGGACCTGGTATCCTCCTGGGCGGTCAAATTGCACATGTTGAAGCCTTTGACGTTGCAGCGGACAAGATGACATTTGCCTTTGGATAGCTGGGCCAGGTCACAGCTCGTTGCCCCGCAGCACCGCTCCCAGCACGCCTTGTCAGACTCCACATTCTCCACCACCTCCACAACCTTCACTCCAAACGCAGCAGGAGCCTCCACATTCTCCAAGCCAAAGCCCTCGACTACCTCGTAGCCCTCACATGGCAGCTGTGTGTCTGCCAGGGCCAAGGGAAGCAGGAAAAGGAAGAACCCGCGGAGCCACGCTGCCATTGCCGATTTTTCCGCCGGGGCGGGGCTAGCCGATGACGTCACTCGGGCTCGCTCTCTAGCTGGGCACACGGCCGTAAAGTGGTCTCTCGCCTGACTCCGGTGGGAGATACCGCGCGTTACTTGCCGCTTAGCTGGTCCCACGTGACTGTAAGTTTTCAGCTCTCCGTACAGCAGGTGGTAAGCTCTCGCCTTTCTCCCGGTCACCTCGCTCGCTTCACTTCCCTGTCTGCACGTATCTCTGCCGGACTGCTGTGTTTCTTAGACGAGTACCGCCTTCTTATTGACGACGCCACCACAGGTAAATGAAGAACAGACATGCCCTACTCTCCTCCCCGCCCCTTTCCTGACTTCACCACAGGTAAATGACGAGCTGCCCCTCCCTACTCTCCTCCCCATCCCGCCGTCACCACGAAGAGCAGACGTGCACTTCTCTCTTCCTCACCCCGCCCCTTCCTGACGTCACCGCAGGTAAATGAAGTGCGCCCGCGCCTTCGTCTCCTCTCCTCGCCCCCGAATGTGCAGGTGTGGTGGGCGGGGCCTCCGCACTGGCTTCCTGTTTACTTTACACACTGCAGCTCTCTCTCCCGCCTCCTTCCTCGTCTGGAGGAGAACTGGTTTCTGGAGGCCGGGGGAAGTTTCACCTTCCCAGCAGGGATGTCATTAGTCACCAGGGACACAATGGCGTTCTTTACACCATGAAGAGTGTGTGTCACACGGGACTTCCTGTCCGTCATTCATTAACTGTGTGGATTGAGGGGGTCATTAATGAGAGTGTGGTGTGTATTGTGTGAGGAGGAGCCTGTCATAAACATTCACTGAGGATTCAATCATTTGTGAATGGAGTGAATCTCTCTGAGTGGGGGTTCTGTACACAAATGATTAAAGGATAATTAAAGCCTCCATTTTTTTTGCATATATCTACTGCTAGCAAGTAATAGATATATGCAAAAGTGTAAAAATAAAAACCAAAACCGCTTTGAAAAGGGTTAATACCTGCGCCTTCCCCGCGTGCCCGTCCGAAAATGTGAAAGCATCTTGGGGTGGGCGCATGCGCAGATCACGTTTTCGGCCAGGACGCGAGGAGAGACACAAGGTAAATATATGGTGTGCATCCGCATGCAGACAACGTGGGATAGGAAGTGCCAGCAAGCTCAGAGGAGTCAGCGCTGGATCGGAGACCCCCTCCCCCTCCGATCCTCCAGCGCTGACTGGCGGAACAGAGGGGGTGGGTACAGCTGACTCTGCCTCTAGATAGGCAGAGCCAGCTGTCACTCACGTAGCTGGGCGGATCACGACATAATTGTCGGGATATGTTTCAGCTGCGGCGTCTCAGTATAGCTTGCGGTATACTGAGCTTAGGGTGATGGGAGGACGCTAGTTTGTGTCCTCCCGTTACCCTTAGGAGAACTATGGGGAAAAGCCCTAACCCCATAGTTCTCCTTTAAGGTAAGTGCTTTCATTAACATATTTTGGACTTTAAGGTCACTTTAACTAACGGCGGCCGTACACATAGCACGTTGTCATCTATGAGGTATGAGTGATCGCAAACAAGCGACTCGCCATGGAATGAGATATTGTATGATGTAACACACACACACACACCGTACTCCTGCCCTGTGAGTGACCAGACGCAGTAATCCGATACAAATGTAAATCGAAATTCACATTCTATGAAATTATTTCCAATTTGGTGAAACAGTATTCTATCAAAGTTTGTGACTGTGTTTGAATGTGTGACCGTTCACATGCAAGGGCCGATCTGCCCTGGAACCGCTGATTGGTCCTGAAATGTCATGGGGGTGGAAGGTGAGATCGCACCCACAGAGTCGGATAGAAGTGACATTTCAGGGTCGATCAGCTGTTCCAGGGCAGATCGGTTCTCCTGCACATACCAACTGCGATGCCGATCTGCCCTGGAACAACTGACAAAGCGTTAGAATGTTTCACCTATTGGCGGTCACACATTCCACTGCTGAAAAACTGGGCAGGATTACGGTAAAATGTGTGACCACGTCACCGGTCACACATTCTACCGTAGTCACAAACTTTGATAGAACACTGCGGACTCTGATGGCCCATGTGAGGATGAAGAGGAGACGCGCCCAATGTGTGCACCATTACCACACGCTGGAAAGACTCCCTGCCATTCATAAAGAGGGTCATCGATGTTCTGTAGAAGTCTGTCCGACTAATGCAAGAACGACATACAACAGATTGATGTATCCCACACTCCAAAGACATGCTGGAAGGTTAATTGGCTCCTGTCTAAATTGGCCCTGTATGCATGTCAGATAGGGACCTTAGATTGTAAGCTCCTTGAGGGCAGGGACTGATGTGAATGTGCACTGTGTAAATTGTCAGTGCTACATGAGTAACAATAATAAAAATACATGACCAATCAGTTTCATTTTTTCAGTTGGTTCAGTTAAGCTGTGAAAATGGAACAGAGTTAGCTGATTGGTTGCCATGGGTAACTGCTCCAGATAAACTTCCCCCCAGAGTGCTCTACCTCCTTCCTCCAATGCAGTTCCATGGAACACAGGTGCAAAAATGAAGCCTGTGACACAGTGCATGCGAAGCAGCACGGACCTTCATGTGCAGCGTCATATCATTTTCACTCCAGCGCGTCAGTTACCGAGAGCTTGCATAGCTGAGTGCGCCGAGATAAAAATGTAGTCTTCAGCCTATCGGTTCGCATGTTTAAACCCGCGCGTCACAATGCGAAGTCCATTCGGTTGTATTCCAGAATCCTGCTGCACTCTATCCCTGTCAGCGTGCTCGAAGTGACCGCGAATGCCACCGCCAATACTGAAACTTGTTTCGCGGCCATACAGGGTCCCCTTCATCAGGTTAGAAATTACATAATTTCAAGCCTGATGAAGGGGACCCTGTGCGGCCCCGAAACGTTGCCATTTGTTTTGAAATGAAGCGTCAATAAACAAACATGTTCTTCACTTCAATATGGTGTGCTGGTGACATCTTTAACAAGGTCCATTTGAGTTGTAACACGCGAGCCGATTGGCTGGAGATGCGGTCTTTCATCTGGCCGCGCTCAGCTCACACACTACATGTGAACGTCCGTGGCTCACAGCTTTGCTTCACTCCGCACGGCTTCACATGCAGTGTGTCACAGGCTTAGGTCTTCCACCAGGCCTTCGTCATAAACAGTAGAAGAAAGTCATTGGACTCGGTTCTGGGTCCAGTAAAAAACTTTATTCAAGGTATAATAGCAGACATAGCAGTCCCGTGTGTCAGCTGAAAGAGACCTTCATCAGCTACAGATGTTCACACAACCTAATGGCACCAGAGACTTGCCGATTATGGATTGTAATGTTATTTGATTTTAAAGCTGGATATACACAGTACACATTATGTGCAGTGGGTGCCCCGTCCGCACCCTTCCGCCCACCATCCCTATGATCCCTCTGATCGAAGGAGCTGGTTGGAAAATTCTCAGCCGACCGGAGCAAGCAGCCAAACATCTGTTAGCTCCGTTTGGGTATTCTGCGGCCACTGTCAGAATACAATGAAAACAGCCAGGGATTCCTCTATCAATGATCGTAAGCATTTAGGGACGATTCACACCACAAAGTCTGCGTTCCTGTGTGTTCGGCCTCTGGAACGCAAGCCGGCCGGCTCCCTGGGTTCAGGGGCGGGAGGGGTCATGGCGGTGCATTGAAGTCAATCGCCCGCACCCGGAAAGCAGGTACATTAGTGCGCTGCCCTACGCTCACCTGACTTACACGTCCGTGCGGGTGCCCCTGCTCAGACACAGACAGGATCCCTCCTGTCAGCATATTAGTACAGACACCCGCACGGACGTGTAGGTCGGGTGAGCGTAGGGCAGCGTACGGCCTCTTACTCCCATAGAGAAGGACAGGCTGCTGCGTACAAATCACACGCACAGATCTGTACGGGCCGGCGGTTAGTTGTGTCAATGAGGGCTTACTCTGGCTTTTTATATCTTTGATGTGAGTCCAATGACAAAACCTCCTCACCATAATTCCTTCTACCCACCTGTGAGTCCTCACAACTCCTTCTACAACATGAATGAAAAAAGTGGGTGACAATTTATTTGTGCCCACTTACATGGGATTGCAGCGGTCCCCCCCCCCCTTTTTTCTCTCCACACGCTCCTTAGGGTTGCCACATTTTCTTCAAGCGAAACCCGAACACTCTAGAGACGCGCAGACAATTTTTGGGGAAAATTAGTCGTGGCTTATTCATATCTAAATAGCGCCGCCCATTCATATGCAAATATTACAGATGAGACTATTTTCAGTGGGGGGCCATTAGCCCCTATCTTGATTTTGGTTGCCCCTGTCTGCCTGACATCTTGTGTCCGGGTTTCTGCTGCCATGAAACCCGGACACAGCGTTCAAAACCCGGACTGTCTGGGTGAATCCTGGACAGGTGGCAACCCTAACGTTCCTATTCTTTATTGCAGATTTCCGTTTTAAGGATGTGGCCCCTTTAAAAAATTCATAAACGGTTTTGGCGGGAAAATTGAAGAATTTTCCTGAACCTTCTGGAAGAATCCTGAGCTTCCCTATATAAGGACGGCTCAAGGGGAAAAAGTCAGTCAGACGGATCCACAGCATAAGGAGCTCTCCGCCCTCCCGCCCTTATTCTTGAGATCTCTTGAAAAACATGTTGCGAGGCTTTTATGTGGTCGGTCACCCTCAGTTTGAGGGGGGACTTAATGTTTGGTATACAATTATTACTGGATTGCTTGAGTCGTAGTGGCTAGGCATTTTCTTCGGTTGATAGATTATTTAGTGATGGTTTGGTTGCTTAATTAAATCTAAATTATTAAAACCAATAAAAGTGCCGCTGGCAAACATTTTTAAGCCAAACAAGGTGTCGGTTTGTTTGATATGTTTGAATATGTTAAGGTGCCCATACACTGCACAATACTCGTACGAGAATCTCGGGAAATCCCACGATCGTACGAGAATCGTGCAGTGTATGGAAGGCGTGCAACCGTTTCTACTGTACGGTTGCACGTCTTCCGTCGCACGCGCACACAGCCCGTTTGCAGTCATCGTAAGCCCGCCCCTCA